ATTATAATTAATTTTATTTATTTATTTATTTGTTTATTATTATTTTTATAAAATTAATAATTTTAATAATAAAAAATAAAAATATTTTAAAAAATATGTTTATTTGTTTTTAAACATGTCTTTATTAATTATTTAATGTTAAACACCAACTGTTAACTATTATATAGCCAAACAACTATATTTATCGAATTCACTATTTACCATCCGCTACTCACTTTTCGTCATGTGTCATCTGTTGTCTGCTAACCGTCACCCACCACCCACTACCTGCTAACCATCACCACTATCCACTACTTGCTATCCGCTGAATTTTAACCGCTGTACCAAATAAGTCCTTAGAGTGAAAACTGTTTTTAATAGTTCGGATGGTTTGTTTTGTCCCATCAACCTAAGTAGTTTAAGGATACACTTAGTTCCATAGCCATTCCCCCTATCAATCTTTCCTTATTCATCTCAATTAAAATTTAAATTTGAGACTAATAACATAAAATCTAAATTTTTACAAGTTAGGACACTCATATAAATACATTGCATGGAAGAATACTAGTTGTGCTTTTTTTAGCACTCTACTTCTCTATATCTATGTTTTTTTCTTTTTTATCAACCAAAATATCATTAATAAAAATATAGAAAAGTACAAATGGTACTCTAATCTATTAGATCCTATTCAACAATACTTATACTTTCACAATTGATAAGAATATCCTAATGAGCATATGTTCCTGCTTCACCTATTTCCTCTGTTCTTGCTGACCTCCACAGGATTTTTGAACTACAATTCCTTAGAAAATTCTTCATTACATTTGGCCTTTAACCATGTAAAAGATCCGAATTTGATCTGATTAATTGCAGTTTCAAAAGAGACAGGCCCTTCTTTGAAAATTAGCTGATTTCTCCATAACCAGATGGTCCAAAGTACTGTAAACCAGATCACATACCATGAATTATTCAGCATGGCGTTAGAGACCATTCCTCTGTGCTGCTGTAGGTGACCCCACCCTTCATTCTTTAATGCCGATTGGATGCCCCACCACGCATAGCTAGCTTGCCAAACCTTCCAGCCTGTGTCGCAGGTGAAGAACAAGTGAGTAGCAGATTCTGGTTTGTGGCTGCAGAATACGCAAAAGCAAAATCATTTCCAGTTCCGGTTATTCCTCTTTTAATCAAATTGTTTCCTGTGGGTATTCTGTTTTGGAGAATTTTTCAAGCAAG